AATGCGCGCGTTGCCAGTGCAGCCCGAGTGAATGCACGGCTCTTGCCGCCGTGGCGCACGCAGAGGTTGCGAGCAAAGACCTGGTTGTGGCACGACGACGACCCTGTGCACTTGGCGCGGTTCTTGTGGAACTCGCACTTCCACGAGCCGTGCATGACGCTGTTGGTGCAGCCGTTGAAGAAGCACTCGGTGCTTGCGGTCGAAGTCGCTTGGCTCATCACTGTCCAGAGGAATGAAAGTTGAATTGTGAGCATCTCGCGCAGCTCGCGGGGCCAGCTGCTCCTCAATGACGAGGCGAATTCCCGCCGGCCAACGACAAGCCACTTGCGGTTTGTATCCCCGGCTGTCCCACTGAGCTGACTTGGCATTTGTATGGTCGCGCGCTGGCAGCTGTTGCTAGGGTTGTGTGCAGTGGGAGCTTGAATGTTTTTGCAACTTTTTGTACCAGAAGATCCAGTGCGCGCGTCGATAAAGGCTCGATTTGTTGTTGCTCTCGGCGGCTCCTGCTACGTTCTCTTGTGACCTGGACGAGCCGATGGTCTCTACTCATGTCTGCTGCGCGTCACCCTTTTTTCCAGCGTCAACCAAGTCCAACTCTTGTACACGGTAGCCTCGCCGACATGGAGATGGCCTTTCCCAACGCGTAGCTTCAAGCGGATGCGGCACTGGAATCCCTTGTGGAGCTCCTTCCTGCACAACGGCTATGGACGTTGAATTAATTGCTTGACGCTTGTACTGTATGCAGGCTGATCGTCGGTCGCCAGTGGTCCGTCGCTTCCTCTTTCAAATCCAAGCGCAAATCCACTGGACGACAATTAAATTGCAACAACCAAACATGGGTATTTCATGCCATCTGCGTGGTTGTGATCTTTGCGAGCCAATACAAACACCAAGGTGCCCGATGCTTTCCAACCCGACCAGCACTCGCCACTTGTTAAGAAAGGTCGAAACGACAGCCGCGTGCAGTGGGGTCGTCACAACGCTGCCTTGCATGGGCGTGAATGATGTACGTTCGCGGTGCTTGGTTGCTGTTCAATTACGTCGCGTCGTTATAACCCACCTCGTAATGCCGCATTTCAACAAATGCCAGCGCGCGCCAAGGCGCGTCATTGCCACGGGACGCACGCCGCCACTCGGTCCGACGACCACATGCGACGCTGTACAAGCTGCCCTCATCCTTGAATCGAAGCCGCACGGCACGTGAATCATCCATCGGGTCGGAGCACTCGCCAACAACTTCCGCCCCACGCGCCTGCAGCTTGTTTTCACGCGCAGCTACACAGTGTATCACGCGCCGGTGCTTCGAACCCAGCTGGTCCTTCGGTTTCGATCGCTGCACGCGGTTGAAGGCGCTTGTCGCATCCTTTCAACCTGCGGCTGTCGACCAACGTGCTGCGTCAGAGAGCAACAAAATCGAGAACCGCCTGTCAGCCAAACAACAACCAATCTTGCCGATGTGTAGCAACAAGTCTGGAGCGATCCAGAGAGCCCTTTTCTGCATCGTCGATTGGAGGTTGTACGCACGTATGGTCTCAGGTAGCATGAAGCAAGAAACCTCTCAATGGACATTGGACGAGGACAATTGACGAGGACAATTGACGAGGACATTCAAGGATGGACGTCACATGCATATTACTGTACTTTGGAGCGTGTCCCAGCTCGTCACCCTCTCGATTAATCCGTTCCAATCCGTGCAATCCCATTTAATTTGGATTTTTAAAACGTTGTTGTGGCATTTTAGCCAGTGGATTGGACGCACCACTGCAGCTCAGCAGGATCTGGAAAAGTTCCTGCACTAGTACCGACTCCAGGTCCTGCAGTGGGGCGTCCGATCTGTTGGGTTCTCGGCGATAACATCCATAGTACATGACCTCTGCAGCTGATGCCATTTAAGGGCATCGTGACTCGTGTCTGGATATGTCTCGTCCTTGTGCTTGATCGGCCACGAGGCAGTTCCGAACGTCAGCACCCACCCGCAAGTTCGACGTTGCTGTTGTTGTTGTTGTTGAAGTGAGTCTATTTAGATATAATTTACACTGAACTGGATATGGTGGTGGACTATCGATTCCAAGGTGCTACGATGAGCCGGCCGCCGAGAGGCTTAGCCGAGCGGGAGACGTGGCGTGTAAACGGCACATGCCGGAACAAAGTTGTCGCGTAGCCATGCATCG